TTCGCAATTGTGAAATACAAACTGATACAACCCGACTGGGTATGGACTACGCCTGCTTCGAAACTAGAGGATCAGGAGTTAATTGTACTGTATGACTCTTCGTGTCAGAATAGTTTTTGACGAAAGCCATATTCTTGAAAAACTGTTGTTTAATCATGGAAACTAGCAACCTAGGTCCGCGCTAGCTTAGGCCTGGTATTGAGCCGAAAGATGGCGATAGCACACAGGTCGCATACATTTCTTACGATCGAGCTGTGTACGTGGGACTGAAACATCTTCGGTGTCGACTTGTCACTTCCTCAAAGTTAAAAAGTTGAGAATACTGGGTCAAAGTGCGGTTAATTGTGCTTTAGGGTCGAAACCCAGAGTTCTTGTGGAATACACCTAACCAGTAGAGGTCTCAGATATCTCCATTTTTCGCTGCAAGTAGGGTGGAGTGAGTGGATAAATAACGAGACGAACCGTCATTTATTCACGTGTTTCAGCGTTAAGTTACTAAACTTCGCCAGTGAGGACACGCATAGCACAGTTCTAGCAGTAGTCTACTACATTGCGCTTTGTTTGTAATTCCTCACCCCCCACCCCTTCCCACAGTGCAGAGAAAATCACGTGGAGGTCGACAGATACAGTAGAGACGATTCGTGAGATTTCAAGCATAACCTGACAACTATTAAAGAATCCTGAACAACTGGCACTAATGGATGGATCCGCACGTTGCATGAATATCTATTGAATGACGAATGAGCTTCTGTTGAGCCACAGACAGTCATGCACAAACACACTTCTGCCTTGTAGTCCGCATCGACCGGAAACCCTGGAAGGCATGACAATAAACCGACAGCAGTGACGCTTTTCTTGTCATTCTTTGTCAGGATAGTGTGGGGGAAAATATGTATCATGTTTGACTATGTACTATGCTGACCTTAGCAGCTCCTTTTATTTACCTCACCCTCAAATCAAGTGCGTTGTCCATCCACCTTACACATCCGTACCTACCTCTTATTCATCGTAAGATTGACAACAACCAGCGGAGTCCATTTCATTGTATCTCGCTGTACGATGACGATGATGATGTATATGCATGTACTATGGGTATTGGGTAAAACACAATAAAATGGGTAGACTATATATGCCAAAGATGTGAGACACATGGATGGCACATAACAACATTCATGTTAGAACCAGATAGTCGTAGTTATTTAAGTATTCGCATAAACTTCGTCGGTCACCACCTCGAGATGCAACATACATTTTTGATCACAATATGTCATTGGGGCAGCAAGATGGACTTTTTTCATGTTTATTTCAGAATGAAATTCGTCGCCTACACAAGCATGAAATTTTTTAGGAAAAACCAAGCGAAGCACTGTACACATATTGCAACTGAACCCGGGTTTGCTGACTAGTGAAAATCAGCCACTGACCTCAATGAGGATCGAACCCCGGACATCTCTTGATTACCGAGGAGCTATCTACAATGTTTCAGTTGAACTATAAACGGTAAAGCAGAACACGTTTCTGCCATATCAGTTGCATTCACCAGCCTTGCTCAGTTTAACTGCAACTGCTAGGGATTACGATTCGCGAGGAAGTATTTTAAACCTGATAAGTAATAAGCTCCTCAGCGGAACCGAACGGAATCCCAGTTGTGACAGATTTATTTTACAATCAAAAATTCTTATGGCTCGCAAGCAAAGTATTTTTTGTGGTTAAGCTCTAGGATTGTATAGATGAAGTAAGAAAATATTTATGGAAATGTTCAACGTAACTATTCGCCTTCTCAGTTAGATATGTTAATTCAAAGCCACTCGAGATAAATAAACACGAAGTGGTTAGCGATAGATGTACAACTGAGTCAAACATACCGGAGACTGTGGATCTTGAATTGTACTCATTTGGTAGGTTGATGGGCTGATGGACTGACCAGTGAGCTCCCACAGACCACGTAGCGTTTGGGAAGAGCCAAGACGTAACGCTCCGGTGTCGGATCCAGAAAATCGGGCCGCGAGTTCTTTGAATTGTTTCTTTTCTTCGGAAACCATCTTGCAAGAATAGCTTTCTAGTCTATAACGTACATACACGCACACAATCATACCGCATTGCTAGAAGAAGCCAGTGGTTGAGCACAAGGCCCACGAGTGAAATCATCAAAATTTATCAGATGAAGAGTCCTCCCCCCACCCCCAGGTACAGTATTGAACCGCACTTCATTTATCTGAAAATTCGTCATATAACGAGTAAAGCAAAAACTGACGGTAAAATTTAACGTTTGTTAAAGGGAAAATACATTTTGAATGATAGATAAGGTTTTGAAGGATGTCATTTTTTCTTTCGCTGCCGCTCATGTGGGGTACAAAAATCCAATGTGTGAAGATCACTTTTGTCTATTTTACGACTTTGGCCCTGATCAGTTGAAGAATAAGACTGACTTTAACCTAAATATTGCTCTGTCATTCACTGACGTCTCAAACTATAACCACGGTTATTGCTTTGTTGATCTTGAAGATAACAAACCCCGGTATTAGCTACCTGTTCAGAAGGGTTAATTCTTTGATTTTCTTTATCGTCAAACTTTTCTTATCACACAAAATGTGTGAACAGTAGACGAGGTGAACTGCACAGTGGCCTGCTATTCAGTGATCAAAACCGGTAACCTTAGCTCGGGGACTTGGTGTGGCGAACCACATAAGGCTCCACGTTTACAAAAGGCATACAACTCTGACAATGTTGTCGAGTTTAGTGAACAGGACGAGAGATAACGCGATGACCAGTGACAAGACATTTGATAAGTTTGTGATTCCAGATACTGTAAAAAGGGACAATTAAATAAAAGGCAGGAAGAAAAAGTTAAAAACTAAAAAAAACGTTTCTGATTTCATACAGTGAGTATAAACACTGATCCAAGTTGTCCAATCCTGTCTTTGCAGAGAACCGAATGTTGCTTTTGTCTGGCTACTCGCCCTCGGCCTGTCCGATATGGGTGACCCTGAAGGAGCGCTTTGCACTCCAATCGGCATAGCCCTCGGGGTCATTGTAGCACGCAAACCCGATCACCACGATAAGGTAGCAACATTGATCGGGAGGATAAAATAAGAGGAGAGTATTGTCAGAATACCGTTGTCAGTCACCACTGCATTGGGTTACTGGATGAAAACAACCTTATGCGTTCCCTTATGTTCAAGAGTAAGCTTTTTTAAGCCCCCCTCCCCCCGACAAATTTATCGACAACTTCAAACGTGTATGGTGTGTATCGATAAAAAGGAGACATTATGGCATATATCAGTTAGACAACATCACCATGGAAGAACATTAATCCGGCCCTTCAGGGTATCGAATATAGTTGTTACCTTTCGCATAGCCCTTGGTTGGTCATTCAGTGGGATTAGATGCGAAGTGGAGAGCAGCAGCAAGATAAAGATACACAAAGAGGGCAAATTGGTTGTGCGAATAAAACGGGTATAGACAGGAATATTATTATCTACGACATGGCTGGTTCATTAGAAATAATAAACCGGCTCTAATGGAGACTAGGGGGTTATAGTACATGGGACGCCCCCAGTGCCAATCAGCCTGTAATCGTGGCTGCACGTCACACCTTCGCACAATAAATGCGGAGTGGGAGGAAGTGTTCGTGAATTTTTTTATTACACACATTTTGTGTGGTGAACAACAGACGGGGCGAACCCCATGGTCACGAAGACCTCGTGATCAGTGCCTCCGAAAGCCTCAGAATGGTTGAGGATGGGAGTGTTGGGTTGTTGCTAATTATCCTTCCTGGGCACCTCGCAAAATGCACCTATAGGACCAAGTGTCTCAAATTATTATCGATATTGTACGGTTCAGTCTGCTTTACGGTTGACCTTGAATTTGCGGGTAGATATCCATCGTTTGGAGGTTTTCGGAAATCCATGCTTACGTAGTACGATCCAGGTGGGATGGAGTGGGCAGGTCAGTAACCTAGATGTAGGTCGTCGGGCGTCTGATGACGCATCAAGGAAAAACTCTATCGCATCAACTTCAGTTTATTAGGCTCCGCTGGCTGGGACCCGTATTGCGTATACCAATCTACTGTCTACCGCACCGCACTGCACCTTATTTGCAGTGGCCGCTCCAGATTGAAGAAAACCGGAGGTCAATAAATGATTTGAAGACGGGGTATGGAGAAGTGAACAAAGCGATTAGGTATTTTCTTATTACACACATTTTGTGTGATGAACAGTAGATGGGCTGGATCCCATAGTTATGAAGACCTGCCGTTCGTTGACGAAAACCGGTAACCTAAACCCCGGGAATTGGAATGGCGAACCATATGAGGGCCCCCTAAGGTTAGGCGTGTTTGAACCGAACGGCAGCAGAGTTGCCTAGAGTAGGTTTCCCGTTTGTCAAGCCAAGGTTCAACAGACTCCAAAACTGGAAAGTTGGATGTTCTGAAGGTTGTGGTAGTCAATTGACAGCAGTGGCATTCTTGATGTCACACGCTAGTGCACTATATGTATACTTCATGTTATTTGCTTTCTTCCCACGCCCCACCCCGCCCCCCAATAGACCCAATCCATATTATCCTTACCATGTATGCATTATGAGTTCGGCAACGACCGGTGAAGTCTACTCCGCTGTGTTCTGCTACACGATAATAATGCTGATGTCACTATATAGGTTGCTACAGCGCGTGATATTTGCTGAAGCAGGTAGCAGGTGGAAAAATATCAAGGGTAGTCAAACTAAGACTTCATATTAACCCCCCCCCCCGACCGAGNAGACTTGGTCGTGTTAGGCTTTCTGGATGAGGACATCTGGATATTTGTAATCAGTAGTTGGATACATAGTGAAATGGATGCATGTCGTAAACAGTGGCGCTGTTGCATCTCAGTTTCTCCGCAAAATTAGAGTACTGGAAATCTCCATTTTCTCTTCGCCACTGCTTTGACCTTTTCAATCTTCAATCTACGTTTTCATCCCAGTGGACAGTCAAAAGAGAACAAGCGAAAACAGGTAGTATCCGCAGCATCCACTTTTGCCTTTTTAGGATCAGTTGGATCTAATGCCTTGGACGAACTTCGGGCTCTTAACCATAAACTAAATTAGCTTGATTTATTTCATAATGCCGCTGACCTAATCCGCCACGTTGCAATACTTTTAGCTAACCCCTGAATTTTTTCTTCATAAGGGGTACAAACAGCTGGGCCTAGTTTCAGTTTTTAAAACAATTAACCATACACTTTCGTGTGCCGGTTTTGGTTGCTGTTTTTGACCGCCCATTTGGGTGAAAGAAAAGGATGAGGATTGGAATGTTGAAAGCTAATTCAAGCAGATATGGAATTAATATAGACTGGTTTTAGGAGATTAATGAGAAGTTGCATGAGCACCACTGTTTGCGACACCCAGCCATATCGCTGTGACTAACCATTAGTGACCATGATCTCGGGGTCCCCAGCCAGAGAGCCTAACGGGACCTATGTAGTGTTCAACAGGGTGGCCTTCTCTCCCCGTTTCTAGTTAACTTCGTGATAGATTCGATTCTTGAAACAGCCCTATCTTCGTGTGGGAATAGCGGTATCGATTTACTCCCAGGTGGCAGACTGTCTGACCTAGAGTATACAGACGACATTGTGCTGCTAAGTGAAGACCCAAATAGGTTACGTTTTTCTGGATAGTTCGAATGCTAGTGTAGCGGTATGCGTTTTGCACCTTCAAAGAGTAAAACGTTACTACAATGTTAGGTTGGTCCTGCATCCAGTTTCACCCTGACTAGGGAAGTAGTAGAGGAAGTGGACAAGTTTGCTATCTGGGCAGCTATATCTCACCTAGCGGACGCATCACAGATCAAGTGTCGGTGCGTATTTAGAAGGCTCGGTTGGTATTTGCTAACTTGAGACATCTGTGGCGCCGTCGCGACATCCGGCTGTCTGTGAGGGGTCGAGTGTATGCTGCAGCAGTTCGGCCAGTCCTGCTCTACGGTACAGAAACTTAGCCTTTACGGGAACAGGATAAAAACAGATTATCGATGTTCGAACACCACTGTCTACGTCGCATTGCACGAATCTGGTGGGGTAACCTGACGAACAATGCTAGCGTTAGGCGTTGAATTTCAGATAGTCGCGGTCGTCCACTAGAGGAAGTGATCGACGTTCATAGATTACGCTGGTTGGAACGTGTTTCGTTGCATTGTTTTCTGACCTCAGGGTTGGAAAACCTCTCATAACAATAAGATCACAGCTGTAGATTAACTAAAAGAGATCCGTTAGTTTCTCGCAAAACTTATTTTTTCGTGTATTGCCACAGCAGTTGGTCGGAACAAACGCTATGATGAAAAAACACTTGATGGTGCTTTAATTCTGAACCGGAGACTCACCGCGAATAAAAGACTACTGACGGGAATTTAATCTATCACTGAGGCTTCGACCCTGACATTCAGTACGATACATAGTCTGTGAGCAACTCGGTGAATAACCGTTACAGTCTCCCGATGTGTGAACGAAATACCTAGAATGCAGATCGAGGTACTTACTTTCATATATATAGTCAGGGTGGGTATCTCGGGTTGTGACTGGTGACTATTCCCTTATATCTCGCGAAATGCTCCTATATGACCCAACATCACAAGTAACCTCTGCTGAGAAAACCCTACTTACTGCGTTCCCGTGGTGTTTTCCCACCAAAGTGAGAGAACGAAAAGCCAACATCCGGGGCTATAACCGGGTTGGGGAACCATTAGCAGTTCACCTAGGGAGTAAGCTAAAAACCCTGATTCTAAACCAACCAAGAAGAGGCGTACAGACCACAAGCATACACTCCTGGTTGTGGTAGTGCTCACCGGCTCGATTGAGCATCAAGGTGTATCGGGAACCTTAGATGTTTGACCTCATCCAAAGGGCATATGATCTAATGAACTGGACGCCGGCTTCTAATGGACTGCGGACTTTGAGCTCCATCCCGTTGCCTTGTAGGTCTGGCTTTCTAGCGAAAGGTTTTGGGATGGGGACCCCGAGATTGTCCTCCTTCGGACAGGGCGACCGGGAGGTAAAACTTCCACATAACCGAT